AGGGGGCAGGATCCCTGACAGAGGGGCAACAGTGAGTAAATAGAGTCAGAGGATCTTGGAATGTCCTGAAGAACATCTGATGTTGATAGTATAAATCTTTTAATTAAAACACTTTAACCTTCCAGCCCCATGTCTGAAGACACTTGTTTGTCCTCTCTGAGATGAGGAGGGTGGATCCCTGTTCTGAAGAGGTAGAAATTTCCAGCTGAACAGAGAGGTGATATCTGTGGGAGCATGAATTGTGCAGGCTGGGAGAGGTTGCCTGCTTGGTTACTTCTGTCAGTATCAATTATACTTACAAAGTAAAATTAATAACACTAAACCAGAAGGTGCCTTACTGGAGCTGAATACAACATTATTATTGCTTCTGATACTTTACATAGATGTTTCTTAATACATAAGATGATGTCTGTTCCTTTTTGTTGTGGGAAACTTGTTATTGACTCATCTTGAGTGTACTATAGCTGTGCTGTGTTATGGCCTTTGTGGTAATGCAGAGTATGCACGCAGTAACGTCAGGAATTTCTGATTCAGCCCACAGCATGCTTAAGGGGCTTGTTTTCCACTTTTATTAAATACTAGAATCTTAAGATGTCCTGAAAGCACTTGGGGCCTTCAGAGGATGTACAGCATACAAATTCAGTGTGGTGTTCTGCATGCTAGGAATTTGTATGTTACTAGATAGGGGAAAAAAAAGGCCTTTCCTCTCTATATGAACCATCCTCTTCCTCGATTATGAAAGTAGAATGCTTACAAGAAAAGAAAGTTGATCCCTGCTTGTACTTTAATGTTGAGGGTTTTTTCCTGTGATTTATATCTGCAGTCTCTGCATGCATTTCAGATGGTCTGCATTCAAAAAAGTGAAAGATTTGATTGGATAACTTTAAGGTTTAACCAAGGGTAAAACGCCTTGAATCTTTCACTAGGTACTTAATGTACTCAGTAAGTGTTAGTTTGTAACGTTCAAAAAATGTTATCAAAAGGCAGTGTATGTTCAAACACAAAACCAGGTCTAAATCTGTATCCCCACTGCATCGCTTTTTATGTACTACCCTCCCTTTGTGCAAGATACTTTATGTTCCAGCCACGCATAAAGGCTTGCCCTTAGGCGTGACCTGCAAAAATATTTCAGGTGGTGATGTAGTTGTTTGCAGTTGGCAGGGGAAAAACACTTGATACGCTTAGCATGAATAAAGTCTTGATCTTTGTTCAGCATGGAGGATGATGTCAAATGCCACTTGTCCGTTGTCAGTGCAGCAGCAGGTGGTGGTTGGCCTGTGCAGGAGCTGAGTGGTCTCTGCTCTTCCAGTGGCTGGCTGGCGAGGACATGGATGCGGTCTCAATAAGTAGCCAGGTGCTCAGTGCACCAGCCTCTTGAGGAGAAGCCAGACTGCATGTTCTGCTTGGCTGCTTGGCCACTGCTTTCTGACCTTAAGTGGGTGAAGCTTGGTGTTTACGGGTGAAGGGATTAAAAAGTGGTATAAACTAGGAGGAACTGCGGTGAGGAAGGGACGAAGACTAATAGGTGGGTGTTAGAAGAAATAGGAGGAGAGAGGTAAAGGATTACATAGGGAGAGGATATGTTACAGTAAAAAAGATCTGACAAATAATTAATGGTCAACCTGCTCATTTGAGTTGATCATATTTGTGTTAGAGGATTTCATGGCAGAAGGCCACAGAAAGCATGTATTTTTTGTAAATCAATACAGTGGTCAGTAGAATTAGAAGTTAATGATAACTATTTGACTCTAATGACAGTTTTATTGAGATTTCAGAATATAATTTGTTGATTCTGTATTTTAACAGTTGATAATGTAGCAGAACTCTGTTCTTCTCACAGAAACAAAATTATGCTCTGCCCTGTATAGAAGGGGAAGTGAATGTGTGTGTGCACGCACAGCCAGTTTATTAATTTAGGCATGGTTTATCAGCAAAATTACTTCTTCTGTATTGCTGCTTCTTGGCAAATTTCAGCTCCCTTAAAGACATTCTAGATGCATGAAGAGAATAGGAACAAAAAGTACTCTTCATCTATTTCCTTGTTTGTTTTTAGTGGAGACTACAAAATTAGCGAATGTTTAGTTTGTGAATGACTTAGAGTGTCAGTGAGAGAAACTGACCAGCACAACGTGTTTGTTTTGCATTAAGATGAAGGCTAAAGTCCTTAGGGGGTTGTGCCAGAGAAGTGAAAGGAGCATTTGGCAGTGAAATGACTGGTGTTGCAACTGCATTTCTTCTGGTAACAGTGGTTGCCATCTATGAATCTGTTATGGCTCAGTCTTCATGGAAGACAGCTGACTGGCAGGTAAGCTATTCCTAAGTCATGCAGAGTGAGCAGACTTTTGCCAATCAGTTATAATCTATCTGAAGCTACAAACTGGTCAGATGCTAGTGCCTTGCATGATGAAGAAAGGTTTTTGCTTTAACTTTAGCACTGTGCTTCCTGTATTTATTTTCTTCATGGAATTGACTTTGCCCAAGTTGTACTTGCTAAATAAATAACTCGTGATCTGTAGTTTACAGGTAATGCAGAAGAATTCTGCTTGGTTCCCTTCTGGTTTAGGTTACGTGAGGTAGAAGATAATGTGTTACTCTCTTCTGATTTTTTTTTTTTCTGTTGTGCATGTTTTGATATATTAAAATGCATTATCCTTTTAGGTGGCTGCTCTAGGAAAACCTCCAGGAATTCACATGACAGTTAGGCATTGCAGACTATGCAAGCTGCCTGAAGCCAGCGGTCACAAGAAGTGACATGAATATGAAAAATTTCCGAATTCCATGTAGCATTTCAAATTAAGAGTTCCCAGGTGTCCTGGGTTCGGCCAGGACAGGGTTAATTTTCACCGGACTCCAGGAAGGGGCACAGCCGGGGGGTGGGGGCTGACCCCACCTGGCCAAACAGAGCCCGGAGTTCCATACCATGTGACGTCACGCTGGGTTCCGGGGAGGGGCGGCGAGACGGGGACGCACTCGTGGCTCGGCAGCGTGCAGCACCGGTACTGTCAGGGAGAGAGGGTCTGTGGGGTCGTGCTCTCTGTTCACCAAAACACCAGGTGTTTTACTGCTTTGTTCTGTTGCTCTTGGAGGAGCTAGCTGCTTTAAAGAGTTTCTATTCGTGGTACCAAAGTTGAAGGCTGAGAGAGTTGGGGCTGTTCAGGCTGGAGAA